TCCCTACACAGAACATCAATCAAGAGAAGCTAAAGACTATTGGAAGAAAGCTTATAAAAAGTTGAACATCAAAAACCACTAACGTGCATGATTCGGGTCTTCTAACAAATCCAATCTCAGCCAAGATTTGCAATGCAGAAAGCTGGGCAGCATCATCCCTTCCAATAGGATAATTACCCATTATATAATCATGCTGCAACTGTAACAACACATCCACGCAGCAACATTGTAATATCTTGAAGGTAATTGAAGTTTTATTCAATAACTGGATATACTATTATTCATTCATAGAACAAAAAAGGCATACTTGTACATAGGACAACTGCAAAAACATTGGATCTGTCACAGCTTCATCTGATTCACGAAATAACTTTTTCTTGAATATTAGTTTACACTGCAAAATTTCTCCTTTACTTCTATCTTTCACTGCCTTAAATTCTGCCAGGAGATCCCCAATATATTTATTATCGTCTAACCCAATGTACTCCTCTGAGTGACAATAAAAGAGCTGTTAGACTACTGACCGCAGTTAGTTTAGTAATATTAACAAGAAAGGTGTGGAAAAAGACATGCCATTCCCAGAATCAGGTGATTTGGAGCCAGTAACAACTTTGCGACATTCAAACATGCTAAAACTCGAGTATGTTGACAGTTTAATGATCCCAGCAAGTTCCTGAAGCAAATGTAAGTTAATTAATAAATGCAGTGATTTATACTTGATAGAGTAAAAACAATTGAGGGTATCAAGAATTAATACAGACAGAAAGAAAAATGACTATGGCCAAGTTTGGATAAACTTCTTAACAAACACTTTTAAGAGCCTATCCAAGATCCATCATTGGGCCACCAACATTGGCAGCTCTATGCCCTTAGCCCCAGACACAAAGGGGTGTATTGGAAAACCGCCTTAGTTGCGAACTGCGATCACCCCTAGTCTGTCTTAATTGCGGCCTATCAGAATTCTAATAAAGTTTGGACAATTTCCTCCTGACGAGCCAGTTTTGAAGGATTGAATTAAACCTTAAGCTCAAATTCTAAGATATTTATTTCCACGGAATAAAGATGACTTCTTAGTCATGAATTGTCAGTTTTCACAAAAGATGACTTATTTCAATTTTCTCCCTATTCCATATATTTTATGTACATTGCATCAGTTAGAAATGTGCACTATATGAGATATATCATACAAGCATACGAATGTTTCAAAGAACCTGAACAGCATCTGCAACTGTTGTTGACATGTCATATGTAATTTCCTCAAATGTTTCATCCAGGAAGAATACAATAGTTGTAAGCTTTTTCCCAGTCAACAGAGCTTCAATCTCAATAGGCCCAGGTATTATATGTCTAGGACCAGCCTTGACAGAGTGCTTCAAAGCATTTAATGTATTTAATGCAAGGGCTCGGATCTCAGGATCAGTAGTCACACCATGTGCCACATTATGAACATATTCTGATAGATATGCTCCAATGTCTTTACTAGGAGGCATGGACGAAGCACATAAAAACATTAGCTCCCATGCTTTAGTCAAGCATTCCCTGCTTTTCAGACCAAAAAAGTATTAATCAATAGCATAAAAACCGCATATATTCCACTTCAATGAACAAAATCCAAGAAAACATGAATCATGACACACAATACTAATGAAATTTACATACCTCTCAGGGTTGTTCCTTGTTTGTTTTGATATTTGCACAAAAAGTTCATCTCGGAGTTCTGAACGCTTCAAACTTTGCTTGTATAGTTTACCAACAAGCTCAACTCGTTCATCTAGGCTTATTGGAGTTACACGATCAGATGAATCAACTCCAATATATTTTAAAATTATTTGAAATAATTTTGTTGCTCGGCTTGCTAAGTCACCATTCAGCTTAAGCAATGACGTAGGTATTGGATCCTGCAGGAATTTGAGTTAGTTTTTAATGTGTCTGAAAAAGTTTAACCATGAATTATGGAAATATTGGTCTTTGATTACCTTTTGGAAACAAAGCATGTCCTCAAAAGTAAATTTCTCTCGAACTTGGGGGCCCACGGATCTTTTGGAAAAAAATCCACGTTTTCCAGCAGATTGAATTTGTTTATGCATCAATTTTAAGAATCCTTCCACCTATAGCAAACAAAAATTAAGTAAAACTTGGTGATAAGAAATGATAATGCACAAAAATATAGTTATAAACAAAAAACTACCATTGATGCAGGAACTTAAACAGAACTCATTGAGACATAAATTACTAGGGAAGCAAAACAATTCAAGAAGACTATAATATATATTTCCAACCTGGAATCTATCAATCAAGGGTACAGCTCCAGCAAGTTCTTCTGGAATAGCCATTGATAGAGTTGTTGGTGTGCTACAACATACAAATAAAATACAAAATTACAAACTGAAGAACTTTGCATATGAGCAAACAGAAAATTCATTCTTTGTAATTAACCAGCCACTGAGACCAAGTTCAAGGGAAAAAGCATAATAAGCATTGCCAATTATTGCATGTAGCTAAACATAATAATGGCTTTCCCAGAGGTGCAACAGATAAAGTTCCAAATGCAGCGTGAGATCATCTTTCCCAGAGATAAAAAGAAAACTGTGTAGAAAAATGTATTGGTTCATAATCATATGTAATATATGGTACAGTAATTAAGAAATTTCTCCTTCCTCTTGCATTTCCGAGTTCAATATCTGCTAACATGAACATCCCAAATCATAAGATGCTCATTTAAACTTGTTGGGATACAAACAAGTCCCACATCGATAAAATAAAACAACAAATAACAACTTATATAATACAAACATACTTCAATGATTGAGAGGCTTTTTGGGTAATGACCAAAAGTAAAACAAAGCGGACAATATCTCATCATTGTGGAGTATGTTTGTATAATAACCTTATAAAAATAACTCATAAAATATCCTCTCAGACAAATACCATAAAATAACCCCATCAGATTTTATTCATGAGTCTCTATTTATAGAGAAAATTTGTTATACAAAATCAAATATTGATATTATCCTATTCTAAAATAAGGAAATAAATCTTAAAATAATCATAACAGATTAAATCTAAATATTTGAAATATAAATAAAATATTTATAAAAAAATAACTTAATCTTCTAAAGATATTTAGGCATATTCTTCCTTTAGATAATCCCAAATTGTTTTTGCCGATTTGAGAGTCATGATCCTTGTGAAAACATTTTGTGAAACACAGGCAAAGAGACAATTTTTTGCCTTTGCCTTCTTGATTTTCCTTTCCTTGTGAATTTTCATTTCATAACTCATAAAATATAATGTGCTATATAAAGATAGATTCCGCTGCATGAAAAGTTAGGTCCCTTGTTTGAGAGGAGGATTGTTGGGATACAAACAAGTCCCACATTGATAAAATAAAACAACAAATAACAACTTATATAATACAAACATACTTCAATGATTGAGAGGCTTTTTAGGTAATGACCAAAAGTAAAACCGTGAGGGCTAAGGCCCAAAGCGGACAATATCTCATCATTGTGGAGTATGTTTGTGTAATAACCTTATAAAAATAACTCATAAAATATCCTCTCAGACAAATACCATAAAATAACCCCATCAAAACTAAACCAGGGGTTATTGAACAGTAGAATTTATTTCAATAAACTCCAATAAATATTCAAAAGAAAAGATGATACTCACGGTGGAGCAAAATTGGAGCCATCACTATCATAGCCATCACTATTGCTAACAGATGCATAATTGTGTAACGGGGTAGCCTCATTGCCATTGCTAGAACTAAAGGAGGATCTGTTGGTCCTCATACTTTGGACACCGGATAGTGGCACATCAATGGTCATTTTGCTTGCCAACAAACAAAGTGAAACTAGTCAAAGCAACAAAGTTTGCCCCTCTTTAAACTCCTCCACTGCATAACAAAAACTGAACCATAAGTAAAAATTACATCACATAGACAGATACACAACTTGAAATCTACTTATTCAAAAATGAAATCAGATGAAAAAAAAAAAATGTGAGTGACTAGCAAAGCAAGCAAGTATGGAGCCTGTGAATTGCAGCCTAAAACCAGTCTAAACTAATAACAGACACCAACAGAGCAAAACACTAAACCAATAAAAATGCATTAAAAAAATGGATAGTCCTGAAATTTTCAGAAACATGGACAAAATAATAAAGGGCAAAGACAGAAAATCCCAGAAACTAAAATGCTTCAAGATTTAACTAGCAAGTACAAGAAGGAGGAAAAGTCAGAAGCTTGAACATTTCCAATTACCTCAGTTTTAATGCCCATCATAGATTCACCAACTCAAATAAAATAAAAATAAAAATAAAAAGGAACAAGCTCAGGAACAGAGGATTGAAAACAAAAAACAAGGGAAAATCCAACCTTTGTAGCGGCTATGAGAGAGGCAGAGATCTGGGGTGGTGAAGTCAATGAGAGTGGATTTGGTCACAAATGAAAGAAAGGAGAGTTTTTGATTTGAGACAGAAGCTTATACGGATGGGCAAAGACAAGTGAGAGAAAGTCACGAGAGCATTATTTAACACCAAGGCTTTTGGGGAACTCAAACCACTTTCTACTTTCTTCTTCTTCACTCAAAAAACAACAAAGGTTCACATAAAAAAAAAAAAAAAAAACACAGAATCGCTGAGATGACTACATACCCACATTCGAATCACTTAACATTTATTAACTCTTGTCTTGTACTTCCATAAGCAAATGTCTATGTTTATTTGAAATATATTTAAGCAGAGCTAATACCAATAATCAATTCAACCAAAAATAAAACTAAATATTTCCTATGAAAAAATGTATGTCATTGCTAATCAACAATAAAATTGTTCGTATCATATAATTGCAATGCTGTAATAATTTCAAATAGGAAAATTCTATTGTAGGTTTTAATAAATAAAAAATTACGTATTAATTTTTTAATCAGTGCTCTAAATATATTAATTAACAATAACCCTTTTAAGCCTGTGAAGCTGTAACACTGTATGTAATAACCTTTGTTTTTAAAATATTTATATTTACATTATATATGTATCCATGTGTTCGACTCGTATATTGTGTGTATAAAAAATGCATATGTTAGAAGAGGTTAATTGAATCATTAATCATTTACTTATTGTAAGTCCACCTAAAAAAATAATATTATATATGTGTGCCGTATTATTTTTTATGACAATATAAAATGTGTACAAGATTGATAGGTAATTTGAACAAGGCAGAGTGGGCCCCACAGGCTTTGTGCAAATTTTGTCCCTGTCTGTCTCCGGCGGGAAGAAGTCACCCAAAAATTCGTACTACAGAGTCGTCACTCACATTTCACTTTCCACTCTCCAGGCAAAGGCTGTGTGGGTCCCCATCCTACATTTAAATTTAACAAAGATATTAAAATTAACTTTTATATTTACGCAATAAATTTTGGGTAAATTTATCATACAAAATGAGTTTAAATCATTGATATCACCTAACATTTTACTTATACTAAATAAATTTTGGGTGTATTCACTATATTCTGTATTCGAATCTAAACACTTGAATGAGGATAAAGTAGAGTTTTAGAAATTTGTTTAAATCTAAATTAATCTTATAAAACTAATTTTTTTCTATTTATATAATTAATAATCATTAGAACATGCTCTTTACTATGTTCTACTATCTTTTTAGAAAGTGAAATCAATTTCAAAATCAACTTATAAAATTAAATGAAAAATTATCTTTTATATAATAAATTAACCATATAAGTAATTGATGTAAGATTTTCAACGTAAAATAAAAATAGTTTAACACTGTTTACTACCAAAGAAAATCTTAACAGCAGTGGAATTCAAATAAGCTTAAAATTAATATTTAGAATTTGATAAATATATAGTAAATTATGAAAATATTAAATTTTAATCATTTTATACATTTATGTAATTTAAAGACTAATATTAATAAAATAAAATTTTAAATAATCATATAATCAGTCAAAAAATTGATGATTGAGATTTACTTTTTTATCTCGAAATTGGAATGTTTAACCCGTCATCAGAGTTCTGACGTTTGGATTTTATTTTGATGAACACTACAATTTTTTGTTTTTCTGGACATTGAGTTATTTAAAAGTATAGATACACCGTTTGTTCATATTTATTGAAATTGGAGGATATGTTTTAAGTGGCAACCACATCCAATCTAACTGTTTCTTAACTTTTATTTTCCCTGCTTTCACAGCACAATTAATGCAATGTCTGTGGGAATAATTTTAGGGACAAACTATTCCTAACTAGGCCTAAGTACAACGAACAATAAATATAGTTACATATAATAGAAGCAAAACATCAAGATAATGATTTTTGAAAGTTTACATTAAATTTAAAAGTTATATTATATAATGAAAATGTAACAGCCAATTTTCAATGGGTCGTAGGCCCAATTCGTTGCCCAGAAAAAAAAATAGTAACTCAACAAAAAGAACATTTTTTCTAAGGTAGTTTAGAGAGAAAAGTGAAAAATACCTTTGTTATCGAACTTAGGGTTTTGGGAAACTAGTAGGATTTTGTCTGAGGAGAAGAGCCCGAGCCTCAATCAGGACCAAGTCAAGAGGTGAGTGTTGCTGGGAAGAGTGGTGAAGGTCGTGAGTGTTGCTGGGAATGGGGCCTCAGCCACATTAGGACTTAGGGTCCATATTCTGCTTTCGGGTAGGGAAAATTTGACAAGCTAGGGTTCATTAAGAGTGAATACAGAAGGGGCATGAGCCATACTAGGGCCCAGGGTTCATGTTTTTCTTTCGGAAAGGGGAGAATTGATGAGTTAGGGTAGATGAAGAAGGGGGTGTGAGGCACTCAGGCGCGGGTTTTGTTTAATGTGTGAAAGGTTTTACGAGTGAGTTTCGACCCTTTTCAGGTTTTACTATTATAATTAGTTTTATTAATAATTTTAAAATTCTTTATGTCAGCTAAACAAACACTAATATTTAATATATTATTTTTTATAAAACAAACTAATTGACAAATGGGTTTCCTCCATAGATATAAATTTTTAAAAATATATAGAGTTGGCTAAATCGACACTAACATCTATTATAATATATATTAAAATAAAATTTATTATTTAACGTCTGCTTTGGCCGACGCAAATGAAATAATTATGAAATAAAAAAAAATTACATAATTATAAATTTTTAAAAAGATATAGAGTTGGCTAAACCGACACTAACATCTATTATAATATATATTAAAATAAAATTTATT